CCAAGGCCAAGAAGGGAGCATGTTGACATGTCGTGGGGTTGTTAACTAATGTCATACAACAATATGTGTATTGACTGTTTAATGATAAAATATTTGTTCTGTAAACCTTCACCTAAAGTGCAATTTAAAAAATTTAAAAAAAGCAGTATAGTACAATGGCTAGGAACCCAGGCTCTGATGTCAGCGTATCTGGGTCTGAAACCTGACTCAGCTGAGTGGGCTTGGGGGATTACCTGCAAAGGGGAATGAAAGGACTTTGCAGGGTGATAGAAATGCCCAGTTTGACTGGTGTGGTAGCTTACATCGTATACATATTTGTTAAAACTCATAAACCTCATATACCTTATTATATGTAACTATACTTTAATAAAATTGATTAAAATGTCTTTTTAAAAAATGGGCCATCTACAGCAGCTCAGAAGGATGTGAGATTCAGTCTTTTTATTACTGATTTACTTCTCTGTCTAGAAGTCTGTCCGTTTTCATCAGTTGAATACTCAGCAATAAGGAGTAATCAAATATAGTATCTTGATAAAAATGTTGCTCTCTGGACTAAAACAAATTCATCATGGAGTTAAGATTCAAATGAAAAGGGAGGGAGGGAGGGAGGAAGAAGGAAGGAAGGAGAAAAGTAAAGAAACTAAAAGCTATTGAAAGACAGAGACTCTCAGTTTGGATTAAACACACACACACACACACACACACACCCCAAAATCATGACAGACAGCACTGGAAGGTGGACAATCTCAGCACAGCAAGGCAGAGCAGCCCGTGTGACAGCCAACATGGAGACTGGGAAGCTAGAAAAACTGGACAATGTCAAATCAGAGTAAAGCGATCGTTGCTGTTTTCCATTCTTGTTTTCTGAATTTCGTACTTTGACTAAAATTCTCGGAAATGTTATAGCCTACTGCCTACAATCGAAGGTCACATCAGAGGGAGCAGTGGTGGCCAATATTATTATTATTTTTTAAATCTTTAGTAATGCGGGTTTATTTACCTTACCAACTTTATGCTTTAGGTGTTTGTGATAGATTTTCTTAAAGCTAATACACTAGTACATCGACAACTTAAAGAAAAATGCTAAATAAACCCATTATAAAACCAAAACTGTCCCCAGTCCTGATTCTACATTTTGTCTTCAGTAGTGAATGAGTACAGTTCAAAGACATTATTCAGCAACTATTCTAGCTGTTTGGTCAACTAAAAAATTTAAAAGCACATTTCTGTAATTTTTACCTTTGATATGAAGCTGATCTTAGCTACCTGAGATTTAATTTGCTCTCTTTCTTCCTTGCCTCAAACCAGAATTGTGCTTGTAATTATCTCCACAGCAATTAATTGTACCTGACTGGAGTTTGAAAGTAATAAAACAAAACCAGAGGTCACTAACGTTAGACCCCAACATAGTGGCTATGCTCTAAGGCAGATATACTTTCCCCTATTTTAGAGATAACAGGTTCAGGGAAGTTAAGGGCCCTGCCCCAGGAGACACAGCTAGTAAACACGGATGAGGATCAGAACCCAGCTCCGGGGCTATCCACCACTACACCACACTGCCTCTGGAGGGTACACTGCGGGCAGCCTCTGTCACACCCAAACATTTAACAGATATATTACAGCACCATTATTTTTAGGAGTATAAACTTCTCTTCCAATTTCCTTGTTGCCCTTTCTTCCCTTTTTCACTGAATTCATGAGAGGTGATGCTGCCTTTTTCTTTAAAAAAAAAAAAAGTCTGTTTTACCCACCATCTTACACAGAAAAGCTGCTGAGCCAGGAAGAGCCAACATCTCTAAAACTTTCCAAACACTGATACTTCTAACAGTATTCCAGGCCTGTGTCCACCTTAACTAAGCCCGGTAATCACCATAACAGGCTGACTGAGATAAAGCACCAGCCGGAATCGGAGAGAGCAGGGAACCATATAAGGCAGTTTTGAAAACCGTGGTTATTCCTTGAGTTATCAAAGAAATTCTCGTTTCCAGGGCATACATTTAATTCTGCTGTCACTGACCCAAAAAGTATCATTTTAAAATAGGCCCACAATCCTCTACCTAAACATTTGGTATCAGATTTGTTTCAGAATGTAGAACTCTTCAGAATTTAGGAAAGGAATACTGGATACGTATAATGTATTACATTCCCAGCAGATCCGGAACAGCACCCCGTAATCACATTAAGTTAAACAAATAAAGTTTATAAATAGTCTCAGGTCGTTCCGGTTTAGGTTTTGCTGCAAAACAAGTTTTGCATCTTTTTAAAATGCAGCCAAAGAACTGCAGCCTGGCCATAGCACCAACGGTGTGAGAGTCAGAAATACTTCTCAACATCTTCAAGAAGTCCCAGGTAAGTATTCTGGACACAGAGGCCTTCGTTCTTTTTGTACTATTTATATTCTTCATATGGCACATGTGTTTGAAGTTGTTTTACTGTTAATGTGGCTCTAGTCAGTCTTCCTGACTATTCCATTCTTACTTTTACCCTCAGTCCAAAGATAACTATCTTCCCTGAGAAGGTAAGAGCCCTGCTCCCAGGGTGAGCTCCATGTCTCGGCTCCTTCTCTCCTGTTGGCCCCCAACACAATGCAGTGTCTTCCACAGGTTCTAACCAGTTATGTAAATATCCCTGCACAAACTTTCCTCTTTCAGGGATCAGTCAACTCCCCTAAACTACTCCTTCATTTCAGTTTTCTCAAATTTTCCAATTTTAAGGCTTTGCTAACCAGCAGCTCATGGTGGTCTCATTCTTTATTAAAATAAATGGTATTGTTCATTTCTTAAACCCCTGTCTGCCATACTTTCTTCAACTCTTCTTTCCAGCTGTGGAACTGATAAGCCATCTGGTCACCATTTCTTAAGAGTAGCGTGAGGATTATGTTTGCTAGGTGTACATTTCCGGGCAGATTTACATTTACATCTTATCTCTATCTAACCACAACTAGCACAACTATTTATAACACAATCCATATGTATTTGTGGTAAAAAGGTTTCTGTATTAACTTCTTCCTGCTTATGTACCTCACTTAGGTGCGGACAGAAAAACCAGAGGAAAGAAAGCAGTCCCTAGAGTATCAAGACCAGCTGCAATTCAAGAACTAAATGCAGCTACAGCTGTTGTTAACAATATCAAATTATGGGTACGCCAGCTGAAATACTCACCCGCTTTGGTTGTGTTACTACAATAAAGCTGCAATGTTTATCAAAAGTATGTAACACATAAATGATTATCCATCTTATAATAGCAGATAAAATACTGCATGGAATTAAGTGGACGGATAAAATTTAGTAAGCTCTTTGGCTGTATGGCAATAACATTATTTCAGACTGTACTGGTATTTGCTATCACCTAAATCTGAAATGTGCGACACTGCACCGATCTGAAAAAACGTCAACTGACTATAAATGTACTTAATCCACGTGACAATTAGGAAATTATCAACTTTTCCTACTCCCAAACTTCTACAGAAAGACAAAGGAAAAAAAACAACCTGAAAAGTACATTACTATATCATCATTTCTCTCTCTGTTATGTATGGGACACAAGAGATAAGAACTTTTTCTACAGAGCAGACCTCCACACAGATCAAATCAGAGTTTAAATAAAAACCCACACCGGACTGAAACATGTTCAAGGTGAGACTGATCTCTCTCCTCAGAGTCATGCATTAAGAGTCTGAGCACTTTTTACTGTTTACAAGAAGTAGAAGAATCTGCAGTGGCCCGTCAGCAATCAAATGCTTCCGAGATAACTTCCTGCTTGGACTAGTTCCTCCCACACACTTTAACTAGGGCATGTGCCTGAAACAAGAAGGACGGACAGCACAGGTGTTTTCCAAGTAAAGCACTGCTAGACTTCCATTTAAATAGCCAGTACTCCAGGACAAGAGAACGGGGGAAACAGGTATGCAACTGGTGGAAAGAAAGAAAAACGATCTAAGAAAGTTAGTCAGGAGATAATTTAAGTCTTTAATTTTTAAGCACATTTTATAGCTGCACTGTTATTTTACAGATCAACTCTTCCCCTAAAACATTAAGCACAAAAAGCAGACCAATCAGGGAAATCTCTATTTGATCTGGGTATTAAGATACTGAGGAATTATTGTGAATTTCATTGAGCATAAAAATGGTGTAATGATTAGTAACCAAATGTCCATATATTTAGAGATGCATGCTGAATTACATGAGAGTAAGATTTAACATGATGTTTGAGATTTGCCTTAAAATACTACAGCAAAGAAAATGGCAAAAAAAAAAGATAGATGAGGCAAAAGTGGCAAAAATTTGATTAACTGTTTAATCAAGGTACTGCATATGTGGGGGTTCATTATACTATTTTTATCTCTAAATATTTGCTTCCAAGTATGCTTGAAATTTTCCATCATAACAAATTCTTAAGCAGGCTACAAAAATGTCTGTAAACCATCATCCCAAAGTTTGTGTTTGGAAGAAAATACTATAAAATATTACCAGGGAGTATTTATCTCTGGATGATGGGATGGTACAGATTGATATTTTTTTTCTTTTGTTTTTTTTAGTATTTGCTAAATTCTCTAAAATAAGCACATATTGCTTTTAAAATAAAATAAACCTATTAAAAATATTGTTGTACTAGAGCTCAGAAAATGTGGAGTAGATAATGTTATGAGTACATTTCTTCTAGTTATGAGTACAGTTCTTCTAAATAATCTATGTACTACTTTTCTACCAGAGTGCCATATGGTAGAGAAGCACCATTAAGAATAATAAGACAATGTCTCAATAAAGACTGGGTATACTTATTAAGCAAATATATTTTCCCAATTTGAGTATCTTTACAAAAATCACATTTATCAAAGTTTCTAATTCCTTCTCTTTCAAAATCTCAGCTTTGTAAGAAACATATTTTCTGGCTGTTCTCTACATCACATTTTCTCCAGCTGGTCAAGAATTAAAATAAGACTTCTCTTCAACAAGGAGCACAGCAGTCACTTATATATTCTTCCTTTAGAAATAAAGAATTTTGCATCTTAGGTGTCAAAATGTCTATTATAATGTCAATAGCTATCAGATAATCTGAAATTACTATACAATGCTTTTATTCTCCTATCCCAGAAAAACAAAAGCAAATGAACAAAGAATAACAACAAAAACACAACTGACCTTGATACAACTACCAAGATCTCCCTACTATCTGAAACATAACTCCATAATCTTCACAATGGCAATCTCGTCCCTTTGATAACAAAATGAGATTTCCTTGGTAGGTTATGAATTTGCAAACACAACGTAGTTTCTGGCTAAGCAAAATGATATAATGTCAGTTACAACCTCTCCTTCTCCACTCCTACTGTTTAAGCAACAAATATTGTTCCTCTGACACTAAGCCAAAAGGAAGTTTGTTTTGCACTTTCTACTACTGTACTTGGTTCTAATGGTTGGGGATTTTAGTTTAAATCAGATTATAAACGTAGACTAGTTCCACCACTTCCAACAAAGAGGTCATAAAGGAGTTGGCAAACATTACCCACAGACTCAAATTACAGGAGGTCTTGATTATTACTTTTGTTCACCTTGTACAAGGTCAAAGCTTTGACTTCCCATAAGAGTTGATTCTGAAATTTAATCTTCTTAAAATTCCAAGGAGAAATATAGGCAGCTGGGATATTAGAGGGCAAAAAGTAGCCTGAGTGGCTTTTGGTTTGAAATAGTAGCTTTTTTGAAATACAGGGAAGACAGGAAGATTAATGAATCCAAAATCAGTAGGGGTCATATGATCATTAAAGTTCTCCGTTCCGAAGGATCCATCTGGAAGTCACTCACTCACATCATAGTGGCAGAGCCCTGTTCCAAGTAAGATGCTGCGTTAGCCACTACCATTTCAGATCTGAAAGGGCCCTCCTTGAAGATAATCCAATTACTTTCAAACTGTTTTTTAATCTTCAAACCCTTTCAAATGAAACTTCATGTAAAGATCAAATACAAAAAACAGATAACAATAGAATTGCTCTTTATAAATGGGGAGAAGAAGGGGTTGGAGACCTCTGCTAGCATCCCCTCACCCGTCCCCACATAAGACGCTTCTCTAGCAATGGAACCTCTAGGGCTCTGAAGAACAGTTTGAAAATCAGTGAATCTGTGAGACTAGAGAAAGATACAAAGAGGGATACCAAATAAGAAAACCCATTGCCATCAAGTCAATTCTGACTCACAGCAACCTTATAGGACACAGCGGAACTGCCCATAGGGTTTCCTAGGCTGTAATCTTTATGGAAGTAGATTGCCACATCTTTCTCCCACAGAGCAGTTGGTGGATTCTAACCACCAACCTTTCAGTTAGCAGCCGAGCGCTTAACCACTGAGCCACTAGAGCTCTTAAGGAAGGATACAGAAGGTTGATAAGGCCAGTTTCTCTTTTTTTTTTTTTTGAGGGGGTGGGGCAAGAGGGAAGAAGGGAGCCAAAGAGTGGAAGATAAAAATAGCCATAGTATGGTGAAAATATACAATTATATCTATAATATTATTGCCCATGTATAAAAGCAAATATGTATATGATCAAGTACTAGGTGGTAATGTGAGAAATAAAAACATTGATTTGATGAGATTACAAGCAATTTCTACATTGTATTTATGTTACTTTGATATTATTTTCATAATAAAGTAATGTTAGAAAGAAAAAAATGAATTATTAGTTCAATCTGAACAGTCTACCGTTGAGGAAATGAAGCCCAGATTTGACAAGGAGCATGCACAAACACTCAAGGGCCTGGACTGCAATATACAGTCAACCTTTTAGTTAGAGAGTGGTAGTGGTTGTTGTGTGCTCTTAAGTAGGAGATTGTAAAAACCACAGCTCTTATCTCCACCAAAAAGCTACGGTTGAGCTCTCGCAGCCTTTCTCAAAAGCACTAGAATAGTATGCTTCGGAAGAAAAAGCATTTATTGACCAACTTGTAGATGCAAAATCCTGTTCTGTTACGTGGCATACACAGACAATGACACATGGGCTGCTCTTCAGTCGTTTACAATGTGATAAAGTAGAATGAAATAAAAGCAAGAAAAACTAACTCCAACTTGAAACACTGAAGAAAAGCTCGTGGATGAAATAGTATGTGTGAGGTAAGCCTGAAAGAATGAGTGAAGTCCACCAAGCAGCAGAGCCACTGCAGTGCACAATTCTAGGAGATGACCTTATGAGGTCAGTTAGAGGCAAAGGCCAGGATAAGTATGAAGCAAAGGCAGGAAAAGCATAATATAATGTTCAAGGAAAGATAGTTTGAGATGGCTAAAATGTATGAGGGAGTAGGGACAGGGCTAAGTATGGAGCAAGATTGGAAATATAGACGTGAACCAGGTTAGGGTAGGGCCCTGATGGCACAATTGTTGTATGCTCAGCTGCTAACCAAAAAGTTGGCATGTAAAAAGGCGTGGTGGAGGCATCTGACCTCCTCTAACTTCACAAGGAGGAAGGAGAATCAAGATCAACAGCCCAAGGCTGATTCCTATGAGGCAGGGGTCAGACAAACCTCCCCTCGCCAGCCCTTTTTACCAATTCTGCCACCATTTGTCCCTCCCATGGCACACTCTACTCCTCTCCTGGGTTCGATGATTCATTGCAGTGGCCACACAGAACTCTCAGACAATATTCATGATTATGGGGTTTATTAGGGAAGTAAAAGGTTACAATTCAGGTTCAGGAAAGCTCAAAATACAGTTCTTCCATCAGGATAGCCTCTTCTCAGCCTTGCCCGCAGGCATGCCTCTCTCTGGTCCCTCAGCCTCTGCCCTGCTCAGGCAAGTGTTACAAAGCTCTTTTAACTCTGCTGATAAGCGCCCAGAGGCACCCCCAAGCAAGCCTCCTGCCCAAAGGCGCTCAGCTTTCTCACTTTGTGGCCCGAGAAGCCCACCAGGCCGTCTTCTGTCAGTCTCCTGGCTCTGCTGCCACCGTTTCTCTGCTGCTGCTTCTCGCCATCTTTCCCTGTGTTACAGCTCTCCCTCTCTGTCTTCCACGTTACAGCTCATACTCTCTCTCTGTCTCCTTTTAAGCCTAGCAGGATGGCAAAACTGACCAATCCTCTTGTTAGGTTTCCATACACCTCATTTGCATAGCCCCACCTAGTCATTTGGTGAGAGTTACAAAGACTATGGCTAGAAGGGCTATATTAAATAATTCACTGCATCACGTGGTGTTTCGAATCCGCCCAGCATCTCCATGGGAGAAAATGCCTAGTGATGTGCTTCTATAAAGATTACAACCTAGAAAAGCCTACAGGGAAGTTCTATTCTATTACATGGGGTCACTGTAAGTCAGAATTGATTTGATGAACCCAACAACAAGAACAAACTGAAACATTTAATTTGTGCTTCAAGAAGAGAAATCTAGCAGAAGTACAGACACTAAGGAGAAAGATACTGGAGGCAAATTAAGACTTGAATGAGAAAAACCTTGAACTGGGCACCAGAAATGGAAAAAGAATGTAGAGACTGCTAACGGGTGACCCTGCAGAGGTCTGGGCAACACCATCTGTCTCCTTCTCTGAAACACTGGGGTTAAGGTAGTACAAGAGTCAAAATACTAGTTTCATGACCCAGCTACTTTAACAATTTTAATATATCTCATAATAAACCTTAGCACAAATGTGTACAAGCTCAGTACCTTCACTTTCCCAGGCCTGGAGCTGATCTTGATCCCTGGTAGCACTGCCCAACACCTCTCGAGGTACAGGTTCCATCCGTGCATCCACTTTCTCTTGATCAGAGGACTGGTTGAACCCTTCAATGGCCTTTTGGAAAAAGAAGTTCAGCTCCTCAAAGTTCATGGCCTGGAGCTCTTCATAAAGTTTTATCTGTTGGGCTTCTTCCAGCTCATTCCAAAACTGTAGCAGATGTTCTTGCCCAGCTTTGGACAACCTGCATTTGAGGTCATTAAGGTTCATAATGCTCTGGTAGCCAAGCTTTGCGAGAATAGGGGTTTAATTTCTACACCTGTAAACCCAAAAGAGAAAAGGAATTAATAATAGGTCAAAGTCCAATCTCCAAACTTGAGGTTTTTCTCCTAAAAATAAGTACATTTAAAAACTTGGTGTTAAGGGAAATAACTTCTGCCTTTAGGTCACTCAGTATTTGTAAGAGATCAAAATTGTATGGTAATAATTAGAATTACGTACCAGGCACTGCGCTAAGTACTTCACCTACATTATCTCATTTAATTTTCAACAACTCTATGACATAGGTGTTATCACTATTACTCTTTTACAGTTGAGGAGACTGAGATATAGAGCAGGTAAGCGACCTACCCAGCTGCTGGAGCTGGGATGTGAAGCCAGGCAGTCTGAGTCCAGGGCTCACACTCTAACGAACACATTTAGTTGCCTCTGAACTACTCCTCTGACTACTACGCTACCACTGAAAGAATACCTGACTGCTTAATATTTCAACTGTTCTCCTTTTATCTCTAATGTTAGAAATAACTGTTGAATTCAGAATACAGCAATATTCAGGAAGATAAAAACAAAACAAAACAAAAAAAAACACCCAAACCCACTGCCGTCGAGTCGATTCCGACTCAAAGCGACCCTACAGGACAGAGTAGAACTGCTTCACACGGTTTCCAAGAAGCAGCCAGTGGATTCGAACTGCTGACCTTTTGGTTAGCAGCCAAGTTCTTAAGCACACAGGACCACCTATAACCATGAAAATACATTTTGTTTCAACAGCAGCTTCTGTAGAGAAGCAATAAAACCATGCCCACTGTCTCTACTCACTAAGAAGTTAAACCCTAGTTAAAAAGAAAAGCATTTCATACTAACACTCAGTGAATAAGGCAAGGTTTCTTAAGAGCATTTCATGATAATGTCATGTTAAACTGATAGTGGTAAGGAAAAAAAGAGAATGAGAAAGTATTGAATCTCGTCGCATAATACAGATAAATGCAAAAGAAGACAGGTGGTGTCTAGAAAGAGTTCACAAAGGAGGCGAGATCTAGCTGGGCCTCCTCCAAGACCTGGGCAGACTAGACAGAAAAAATTAAGAAACAAGCTGAGCTAGGATGGCAATGAGGAGAAAGTATGTGTGGGGTGGAGAGCATGAAGAAAGTTGGGATTCTTTGTACAATGGTGAGAAATAAAGTAGTGACCGATTAGACCACAATGAGCCTTTGAAAACTATGCAGAGGGATTCAGACCTAATAGTATAAGTAATAGGAAGCCAACAGTAGATTACTAAATAGGGCAGTGTCACTATGCTTTAGGAACATGAGAGAAAGTAGCAGTGGCACAGGATAGTGTAAAACCAGCATGGGGGAAGAGAAAGGAAGAGAATGCATAGGACAGGTGGGTGAGGAACTTTACGGAATGAGCAAACACTTCATTTTTCAAATCATTATTACTTTTTATTCTGTCTTGGGCATGCCAACCCAAATCAGATATTTCTTAGAAATAATTTTAACTAGTGTCCACTCAAAAATAAATTCAGGAAAGATACTACTGTCCAACAGAGACATGCATCTAACTTTTAGAGACTTTTAATCGGATGCCCCCAAAAATCAAAGTGACAGGTTGGCTTCATGATTCTTCTTATAAAATAAATTTCATATTAGATTAGCACATAAAGTTAAGCGTGTTATATCCCCAGCTTTTATTTTTGGTCTGCTACTTAGATTTAATTCAGGGATAGAATACTACAAGAAGCAAAAGAAATGATACCATCTATAAAATGTACTTTAGAGCTACCAATGATCATAACTAAATTAAGGACTTTCTATCAAATGAAAATGAAGCTTTATTAAATTATCAATGTAGGACAGAGTTCTAATTTGCCGTCCCCTAAGACCCACATCCCTACATCCAAGTACTTTCTTCAGTCTTTTCTATCTACGGAAATTGCACTCATCCTTAAAGGCCTACCTCACAGACTCCAGCTAAAATATTTATTTATAAGTTTTGAAATCAAACAGAACTGACTTTTATTCCTAGTTCTATTGCTTGGGGCTTGTCTTAGTCATCTAGTGCTGCTCTAACAGAAATACCACAAGTGGATGGCTTTAACAAAGAGAAGTTTATTCTCTCACAATCCAGTAGCCTACAAGTCCAAATTCAGGGTGTCAGCTCCAGGGGAATGCTTTCTCTGTTGGCTCTGGAGGAAGGTCCGTGTCATCAATCTTCCCTTGGTCTGGGAGCTTCTCTGCACGGGAACCTCAGGTCCAAAGAACACACTCTGCTCGTGGCACTGCTTTCTTAGTGGTATGAGGTTCCCATGTCTCTCTGCTCACTTCTCTCTTTTATATTTCAAGACACTATCTGATCTTGTAGACCTCATCAATAACTGCTGCTAATCCATCTTATTACATCATAATGATAGCATTTACAAAACACAGGGAAATCACATCAGATGACAAAATGGTAGAAAATCATACAATACTGGGAATCATGACCTAGCCAAGTTGACAGATATTTTAGGGGGACACAATTCAATCCATGACACGCCACCCTTTGCCCCCCAAAATTCATGTCCTTGCCACATGTAAAACACATTTGCCCCATCATATCATAGCAAAAGTCTTAAATCAACTCCAAGTCCAAAATCCAAAAACTCCTCGTCATCTGTGAAATCTAGAATACAAGTTACCTGCTTCCAACGTACAATGGCAGAAAAGGCACAAGCTAGACATTTCCATTATAAACGGAGAAACTGAAGAGAAAGAAGGCAAAAGAGGTACCAAGGAAGTTAGTAGAACACATTACATTAGCCCTCAAGGCTTGAAAATAATCCTGTTTTCTGAGACCATTTACACAATAGCCCTGCCCTCCAGACTCTAGGTATTGACCACACTCTCCGGATTCTGAGTGGAGGCCCCTTAGCCCTGGGCTTCAGTTCCACCTTCCAGGCCCACTGGTATGGCAACTCTGCTCCCTCGGCTTTAGGTGGCCCCATTCTCCTAGTCCTTCTGAGTGGCAACTCCACCCTTAGAAACACTGGAGGCCAATGCTCCACCCTTTGAAACACCAGAGGTCCTGGGCATTACCTTTTGAGAATGAGGCAGCTCGGCTTCTTGTGTTCCTTGTCTCTTCAGCTTCTGCCTCCTGGTTTCTTGGCCTCTTGGCTCCTCAGGCCTCATGCCAGCATCTGCCCTGCTGGGGCAAGTGTTCCAAAGCTCTGTAGCTTCACCAATAAGTGCCTGAAAGCACCCCATTCCGCCAAGAAGTCTCCTGTGCATGGGCACTCAGCTCTCTCACTCCATGGGTCGGCACCAGCACCGTCTCATGTTGGTCTCCTGGTTCTGCCGCTGCTGCTTCTCTGCCACTGCGGGTTCTCTGCTGCCACCACTGCTGCTCCTCTGTCTATTCACAGTTTCAAAACCACTTCCACATTTTAGGTATCTGATAGAGCAGCACCCTACTCCTGGTACCAAATTCTGTCTTAGTCATCTAGTGCTGCTATAATAGAAATACCACAAGTGGATGGCTTTAACAAAGATAAGTTTATTCTCTCACAGTCCAGTAGGCTACAAGTCCAAATTCAGGGCGTCAGCTCAAGGGGAACGCTTTCTCTTTCTGTCGGCTGTGGAGGAAGGTCCTCATCGTCATCAGCCTTCCCCTGGACTAGGAGCTTCTCTGCACAGGAACCCCAGGCCCAAAGGAAGCGCTCTGCTCCCAGTGCTTCTTTCTTGATAGAATGAGGTCCCCAATTCTCTGCTTGCTTCCCTTTCACCTCTTGTAAGATAAAAGGTGGTGCAGGCCACACCCTAGGGAATCTCCCTTTACACTGGATCAGGGATGTGACCTTAGTAATGGTGTCATACAATCCTACCCTAATCCTCTTTTACATAAAATTGCAATCACAAAATGGAGGACAACCACACAATACTGGAATCATGGCCCAGACCAACTGATACATGCATTTTTGGGGGGACATAATTCAATCCATGACAGGGCTCTATTAGTTTCAGCTTTGGTATCTTCATCTGTGAAATGCAGGTAAAACAAGTTTGAGAGGCAGAAATGAAACAATCCTTACAACCCAAGAGAAAATGAGGCTCAAAGAAGTTAAAAAAAATTGCCCAAGGTTACATACCTAGTAGGCAGAAAAAGAGGAATTTTAACCAAGATCTACCTGACTCTAAAGCTTTTGCTCTTTCCACCATACAGCAATGCTTCTCATAAAAACAGTGGAAATGCTAACAGTCTCACTTAAAAGAAAGACAATACAGTTTCGTGGTAAGCAGCACTGGACTCAAGTCAGATTGGCTGGGTTCATATCCCAGCTCCACCACTTCCTAATTTTGTGACCTGAAGAAGTTAGTTAACCTTTCTAGGCCTCCATTTTTCTCATCTGTAAAATGGAGATAATGATAGCACTTATAAGGTTAAGGGGATTAATAAGTTAATATAATGAACAGGGTTTAAACAGTACCTGGCACACAGAAAGCCCTCTGTAAATGCTTTTAAACCAGTTGCCACCAAGTCAATTCCAACTCACGGCAACCTCATATGTGTCATTGTAGAACTGTGCTCCATAGGGTTTTCAATAGCTAACTATTTTTTTTGGAAGTAGATCACCAGGCCTTTCTTCCAAGGTACCTCTGGGTGGACTTGAACCCCCAACCTTTTGGTTAGCAGCCAAGTGTGTTATCCATTTGCACCACATAAATGCTATTAGCTACTATTACGTAAGTGAGATCTGTGCTCCAGGCCACTGAGTAACAGGCTTCTGAACATGAGGAGAGCTACTATTTGAGTTGGGCATTGAAGGATGAAAAGCAATTTGCCAAGGATATAACAGGTAAGATAAAATGCACTCAGTGGGAACAGTATAAGAAACTTTTCAAGAAATTAAAGGCATCTTCAAAGAGCAAGGAATAGGATATGAGAGGCAAATGGATGTAGATGAGACAGAACTTTTATCAACGCTGGTATTTCCGTTAAATAAAAGATAGGCTCACAACCACCATTCTCACTTACTTATGTGAACAGGTTACTCCTAAAAGTTTCCTTTTAATGTGTAAAGATAACATTAATAGGCAATTTAGGAAGGAAAACTATTAAACTTTCATGTGTCATTGTTAATTCATTCATCAAATATTTAACCAGCACCTACTACGCAGGCACTGATTCAGGTGGCAGGGACACAGCAACAAACAAAGCAACAGTGTGACTACCCACATTCCATATGGAAGACAGACAAACATATGAAATGTCAGGTAGCAAACAAGCACAATGAAAAAAGATCAATTAAGGGGAATAAGGGACTAAAGAGCAACGGGGTGATGGCGGTTGTTTTAGACAGAGTGGTCAGGTAGGGTCCCTGTGGAGCTGACGTTCAAGAACACATCTGAATGAAGAGAGGGGGCAAAATAAAGTTAGTATCTTGGGGAGGAACATTCTAGGTAGATGAAACAGCAAGTGCAGCGATTCTGAGACAGGAATGTGGTTGGCATGTTCAAGGAAGAGCAAGACAGTTGGTGCAGCCAGAGCAGAGTAACTGAGGCAAAGAGTGACTGGAAATGAGGCTGGAGAAGTGGGCAGAGACCAGATCAGGCAGGGCCATGTCAGTCAAGTTAGGACTTTGAGATTTGGGAAGACATTGAAGAATTTGGAGCAGGGGAATATCATGGTCTGATTTTAGTATTAAAAGGGACTTTCTGCTGCTCTGTGAACAAAAGACTGTAATGAAGGCAAGAGTAGAAGCAGGCAGACCAGTTAGGAAACTACGTAATAGTCCAGGTGAGAGAAGATAGTGGCTTAGAGTGGTAGAGAAGGTAGATTCTGAAGGTGGGCCTACTGAATTCGAGAATGGATTGAACATGGTTGAGAGGTAAAGACAGGAATCTAAGAAAGATGACTCTAAGGGGTGGTGCCATTTACTAAGATGGGGAAACATTAGCAAGGAGCAGATTTGGGGATATGTTCGGGAAACAAGGAGAATTCATACTTCATGTTTGGTCATCTTAAGTTTGAGATGTCTCTTAGACATCCAAGTAGAAATGCTGATTACACAGCAGAATGTAGTAATCTGGAGTTGAGAGGTGATACTAGAGATAAAGATAAAACTTCCAAACTCATCAGCATACATGATATTAAGTTATGATCCCCTGGATTATATGAAAGAGATCCTCTAGAGAGTGTAAATAAACACAAAAGAAAAGAAGTCAGGAGAGTGAGCCTTGAACACTCATTAGGGTATTAAAAGGCATTTCTACTGATTTATATAGGTTTCAAGAGATACAATGCTATTATTTTTTAATTTAAAAAACACATCATAGTACTGAAGTCATTCCTGAGGTTCACCCTTCAGACAAAGATTAGACAGGCCCATAAAAAAAAATGAGCCTAAATGGGCACACCAGCTCAGGGGCAAGGACGACAAGGCAGGAGGGGACAGGAAAGCTGGTAACAGGGAAGCGAAGGCCAAGAAGGGGAGAGCGTTGACATGTCATGGGGTTGGCAACCAATGTCACAAAGCAATACGTGTATTACCTGTTTAATGAGAAACTAATTTGCTCTATAAACCTTTATCTAAAGTACAATAAGAAAAACAAAAAGAAGTCATATAAAAAAAAAAGGAATTGAGAGAGAAAAGGTTTATATTAAACTATTTTCCAAAAACTGAGGTCTTTCCTAATATCTCATTTATACGACTGCATTTGCCCAGATTTAAGGAAGCATACTGTAGTGTATTCAATGTAAACACTGAATCCTAGCTTGAGAACCTCAAGGCTCCTGTCCCCTATCCAGGTTAGGCCCCTCCCCCAACTCCAAAGGCCTTGACAACCCCTCTGGTTTCAGATCAGGGCATTAGGTAACAGAGCAATAACAACAACAAAAAAAAAAAAAAAAATCCAGTAGATTCTGACTCATAGTGACCCTACAGGGCAGAGTAGAACTGCCCCATAGGGTTTCCAAGGAGCAGCTGGTAGATTCGAACTACCAACCTTTTGGTTAGCAGCCGTAGCTCTTAACCACTACACCACCAGGGTTTCCACCCCTTCATATACGCCCCCAGAATTGGTAAGTAAGCCTCTTAGAGCTTTTGAAAAACAGTCTTGGGGTTGAGCCATTAAACACTGAATCCTGTAAATGTTGGCAGCACAGCCTATGAAGTCTTTCTTAGTCCCAGCTCAATGAGTCAACTGACTAATAGTGAAGACATAGACAAATGCCTTCAGTTTCCTGCAAACCCTTCAGCCCACACCCAATAAATTTCGCCCAAAAGTCCTGAAACTAAAAGCACTACATCATGACATATATATATTATCATAATCACTATCGCCTGACTTCAGATTTCATAAAGCATGTACGAATAAATACACCACAGCGTGGGGCCAAGCTCGATAAAATCTTCAGGAAGCCATATGTTCAGCACATGTGTGCCCTCAGCCCTCCAAACCCATGCTTCTGCTTAGCCAAGTGAGGGGAAACCCAAAAGTTTCAACCCTCTCCCATCATCAGTATTAAAAAAAAAAAAAGCGGGAAGTAGGTTTTGTCCCACTCTCACTTCCCCCACAGGTTATCTCCTGTCCTTGTCAGCGCTCTCAGAATTCTTTTCCTCATCCATTCAAGACACCCCAACTCGCTCCCACCCGACAGCTCCAACGACCACTTGTCCCCACTGTAGGGTCCCCTTGACACAGCTTGACATAAGTGCCCCTAGGAACGCCCTCCACGAGGCCCTGGCTTGAGACCCGCAAGGCTCCGGTCCCCTATCCGGCCCCTCCCCCAACTCCAACCGTCTTTGACAACTCCCTCTGGCTCCAGATAGTGTCCCAAGCCCGATCCTCCCCCAGCACCCCCCGTCCATCTGGGGCGCCCTCTTCTCCTCCCCAGCCCAGCCCCACTCCAGCCGGGTCGCCAAGGGTGGGATGCGCCTGCGGGGCGCACAGGGCTGGGCGTGGGTGTGAAGCGGGCTCCTCGACTCGTGCCAGGCTGTCGGCGCTGTGCTCGTACGTGCGCCGCGTGTCCGCGTCTGCGTGCGTGGCTGTGGGGGCGTGTGTGTGGCGGGATCAGGCCGTCCGCCCGCCCGGAGCCCGGGCCCCACCGTTCCCGTCCAGGGTGGCGGCGAAGGAGGCAGCGACAGACCTGCGAGCCTCTCACCTCCCTCGGCGAGGATGCAGGTCCGCCCGGTTCCGGCTCCCACGGCGCGGACACTCATCGGCGTCCGGCACCCGTTCCGAATATATACCCTGATCCGGGGGGCCGGGGCGGCGGGGCGGGCCGGGAGCTGGGCCGAGGGGAGCGCCGGCCCCGGCCACCCCGCCCCTGTCTCGCCGCGACGAGTGGCTGCCGGCGCGGGGAGGAGCCGCCACCGCCAGCCCCCGACACGTCAACGCCCGGAGCGCAGGCGACCAGGGTGGGGCTCGGAGTGGAGGCGGGGCATCTTCACGTCACTCATTCTCTGGTCCAATGGGGATGGGGTGGGCGTCCTGTCAGCAGACGGCCCCACCTCTCCAGAGCCCTAGCGACGGGGGGTGGAATGACAATTGCATCCTAGGGGAGGGTTAGGCCCGAGTCCCCGCAAAGGTTAACGCCCGGCTGGGTCCTAAACTCTGATGTCACCAGTTGTCCCACGAGTGGAGAGCACGCGGCTCTTAACCATCCCCTAGGCCCAACGGCTCGGAGGCGGACCGCGGAGTTGGGCGATGAGCCGTGTCATTTGGGTGGCGGATTTCCGACCGCCCCAGAGGTTGATTGGGAAAGAGCAGCCTTCTTCTCTGCAGAGAACGCTTAAGGGCGGGCCTGACGCGCCGTCTGACCTTAGGCTAGTTATTTCGCCAGATTCCTGGCGGGGCTCTCTCTTTCTATTGGGTGGTATTTTAGGTCCCAAAGGGATGAAGGCTGGCCCGTTTACTTCAGCACAAACAAGCACGAAGGGAGAGAGGAAATGGAAGCAAAGGTCTTAGGCAACCTGAGGTACTGAAAAGCGGGCCAGTGATAGTGAGCTCAGGGTCAACTTTGTATGACTGTGGCCTTAACCTCGCTGCGCCTCGATATTTTCTGCACGAAAATGCTGGTTGAACTGGACGACCTCTAAGGCTGTTACAGGACCCGCGTTTATAGTTGCCTATTGTATACTTTCCTGTTATATAATCTCGTGTAGGTGTGCACATGCAGAGTATATGTTCAGCACTGTGCCCTTAGAAGCTGTGTTTACATTTAAAGCTGCATTATACTTTCCTTTGCACGGTTTTTGCAAGAAGCCCTAGATAATGGAATACCAAAAACACCTAGATTTTACAAAGCACCTATCATTAAAAAAAAAAAAAATTCAGGCGTTTAGGTGCTTTTCTTGACTGCAAGGGCTTTTTCATTTTCTTTATCAATTGCAAAATCACCCACCCTGTCAATTAACAACAGAAGAATTCACACTGGTAGACTTACGTTCCGGAGATCGAATACTCTCCAACTTTCACGATCCCAGAACTTCACTCATGCAAGAGATGTATAGTGTAGCGGTTAAGAGCATGGGCTATGAGGACACAATTCCAGCTTCTCTAGCTTGTGATCTTGTGCAAGTGTATTAACTCTTGTGTATCAGTTTTCTCATCTATAAAATACAGTAATAAAAATGCAGTTGTTGTGAGGATTAAATCAGTATTAGTAACATACACAGAGCAAACACTAAATTTTAAGATATCATTATTGAGTGCTTACTCTTGTCAGGCGTAGTTCTAGGTTCTGTATAACTTAGTATGCTTTATCATCATCTGCAATGCCTTTGGCTGTTTTCGATTCCTGATACCATTAGGAACATTTCTCTAAAATCTTTTGTGAAAACTGAGAAAAGCAAAATCACTCCCATTAATGATAACCAGGTCCCGCTTAAAAAGACCTAGGAACCTGCCCACAATGATGTAGCTAAATACAGAACTGTAACTTTTAATAATACAAACAAGGAAGAAAGTTTAAGACAGTTGCTTGCTAAAAATATACTGATTGTTACTCTTGTACACTTGTACTCCCTGAGTAAAAAAAAAAAAGATGAAGGTTTAAAACAATTAGAACCATGGGTCCAAGGTTTAAAATCATAGTTCTATCCTTAGAAGCTGTGTGACCTTGGGTAAGTCAGATAACCTCTGTAAGCCCAATTTCCGTGTTTATAAAATAGGTGTAGTAAAAATTAAATGAGAAGGCACCTAATATAGTGCCTGGAATATTATAGGCATTTTATAAATCTCAGATGGATAGATGAATAAAGAGCAAAATCATTAATAAAGAGTCCTTTAAAAGCTTGCAACCAGCCATCCAAAGCACAGCAATGGGTCTCTATTCACCTGAAACAACAGAGGAAGAAGAGTCAGGAACAGAAGGAGGATATGGAATGTGTGGCTAAATGCCTCCATAAACAATTCCCGTCTTTGTCATGAGACCAGAAGAACTGGATGGTGCCTGGCTACCATTACTGAACATTTTGATCAAAGAGTCTGTTGAAGAATCCCAATCAAAAGGGAGAAAATGCAGAACACAATTCAAATTATCATGGACTCTAGACTTTCTGGAGCCATGGAGGGTGGATGAACCCCTAAAACTATTCCCCTGAGATAAACTTTGAAACTTGAACCAAAAATATCCCCTGAAATCTTCTTAAAACCAAACAATAATATAGCTTAACTAGTAAAAAAGGGCTGCCTTTAGCATTATGCTCTTTTAAGAACTATATGGGATCAAATAGACAACAGCAACTCGAAAAATTGTATGGGAACCTTAGGGGGCCGTGAATTTATGTTAATATGGGAGGAACAACTCAGAAAAGGGGAGTGAGAATGTTTGTACAACTCAAAAAATATAATCAATGTCACCAAATTGTACATGTAGAAACGGTTGAATTGGTGTGTGTTTTGCTGTGTATATTCTCAACAACAACAACAAAGTAAATAAAATTTAAAGAAAAAAGTTAAAAAAAAAAAAAGACAAACTATATGAGATGAAATTGACAATAGCAGCTTGGAAGTTTAGATAGGAAGCTTAGGTGGGCAGTAAGTTTATGTTAATGAGGGAGGAACAACTTAGAAGAGGGTGAGAATGGTTGCACAACTTGAAGAATGTAATCAATGTCACTGAACTGTAATGGAGAAAGTGTTGAATTGGTGTATGTTTTGCTGTGTATATTCTCAACAACAACAAAAATAAATTAAAAAAAAAAGAAAAAAAGTCCTTTAGAGAAAAAAGGAGAAGTGGGGTCCAGCACAACTGTTTTTAATGAACTATTATAAAATCAAATTTTGACTTTTACTATTTTTGCTTAAGTTTTGTTTTCATTTTTGTTTTTTTTCTGGTTACTAGGGACAAGAAGAATAGGCCCTTAATCTTACCTTGGCAGCTAAATGTCTTCAAGCTTCTTACATTGAAGACATGCTTCTGTCCTTGCAAAATATTTATTATATACATGGTCTTTTAAGAGCTAATGGTGGAGAATAAGATAAGGATGCTCATTCTACCTATGATTATTTAACATTACACTGAAGGGGTCAGCCAATGCAATTAGACAAGAAAAACCATAAGAGGCTCAAGAATTCAAGAAGAATAATAAGTAAAACTAGCGTTAACTGGCTTTACTCTGCAAAAATGTCCATGTCTAGAAAGACAAAGAAACTGTTGAGAAACTGTTCCAGATTAAAGGAGACTAAAGATACATGACAGTGAAATGTAATATGAGATCCTGGATTATAACCTAGACCAGAAAAAAGAAATAGCATAATTATAAAGGACATTATTGGGATAATTAACAAAATTTGAATATGGATTTTGGATTAGATAATAGCATTGTATCAATGTTAATTTTTTTAAATTTTGATAATTGTACTATGGTCATATAAAACTATCTTTGTTCTTAGGAAATATGTACTGAAATATTTAGGGGCAAAGGGATATGATGTCTGCAATTTATTCTTAAATGGCTCAGAAAAAAATGTGTATATACACACACACATACACAGAGAAAGAGATTGAGAGATTGAGGCAGGGAGGAGGGAATTCAGGAGACAAAATAATAATAAAGAAATTTGGATGAAGGGCATATGGAACTTCCTAATACCACTCTGCAATTTCTCTGTAAGGCTGAAATTAATTAAAAAAAAAAAAAAAAAAATGGAGTTCTTCATTGACAGTCCAAACAGAAAAGAAAATCTTTAACCCAGGGAACCCACAGCTCTGGAGGAAGAAGATTGGGTGTGCCATAGTCAACAGAGTAGTTTGCCTGCCCCATGTCACATGCTCTCTGGCACCCTGTCAGAATGCCACATCATCACCTGGGAAGCTGTAAATGCCACCAGAAGTGCCGCTGTTTATGGTGGCAGCTGTGCGTCCTTGGGACTGGAATAATGTTGTTATTGTTGCTGTGTGCCGTGGAATCGACTCCAACTCATAGCGACCCTATACCACAGAGAGTAGTACTGCCCCAAAGGTGTCCTAGGCTGTAATTTTTACAGGGGAGCCCTGGTGGTGGTTAAGAGCTTGGCTGCTAACCAAAAGGTTGGCAGTTCAATCTACCAGCCACTTCTTGGATACTCTATGAGGCAGTTCTACTCTGTCCCATAGGATCACTGTGAGTTGGAATCAACTCAACAGCAATGGGTTTGGGTTTTTTGTTTGTTTGTTTGTTTTTTGTTTTAAAATCTTTATGGGAGCAGATCTCCGGGTCTTTTGTCTTGCAGAACACTGGTGAGTTCAAACTGCCCACCTTTCAGTTAGCAGCTGGGCACTTTAACCACAGTACCACCAGGGCTCCTATGATGATAATGAGGAAGTAGTTTCCTCTGATTCGCAATCGGCCAGTAGAAAACAGTAAGGTTTAGATAAGAAGTACAGGAACATTTTTAGAGTGGAGATTAATGTTTATATGGATGTCCCTTAAGAGCAAACTGGCATGTTTTCAGCATTCAATGAATGCAAATAGACGTTTGTTCGAAATGTGTTTATTGTGTCATTCTGTGCTAGACCTTGTGATGGGCACCATGGGGGAATCAAATGATAGAGTCTGTGTCCTCAAGGAATTTATACTGCAATAATAGAGATCGAAAAGATGGTATCTGCTCAAGGTAGAGGGCCGTAAGTGCCAGAATAAATGCACAAATCAGGATTTCAAAGCTCAGAGGAAGAAGAGAGTAAAAGAGGGATTTTTCCAAAAGGGTAGGCCAATCGAGTTTGAGAAAGAGGTGGGAGGTGAGAACAGCCTCACTCCTTATAGGAGGCTGCCCCTCATGGCTCAGCCTGGGTGATGGGGCTTTTATGAG